CCCAATGATCGACTAAATCCAAATAAATCCCATGATTTGTCATTAGTTCATCAATCCATTTAGATGGCCTATATCATATTACCCACGCTCGTGATTTGCAAATGGTTTTAGTATGCTTCCTGTTTAATGGCGCGAAAGAAATAAAGGGGCGATAATTCAAATTCCCACCGATACCTCGGGTAATTGAGATGTCTTTGATTGAACGGTTCAGTGTTGTAAATTTTTACCAGCGGCAGTTTTATCTAAGTTTTACAGAGCAATGGGCGGCGGGCAGGAAAACTGATACCGCCGCTCACACTACGGAATTATTTTGATTTTAAAGTCATACAGAGGTCAGGGTGAGATGGATAGTGATGCTATCTCTCTCACACACGCGCGCACACGCACGCTCGCACAGAGAGAGAGGCTGAAATTACAGAGGAAAAAGATCTTTTCAACTTAAAACGTCTAATAACCCTCTTTAGCTTCTTAAGTATTTTTATTTTTCGAACTATTTTATTTTTTTATCATTAGAATGAGTTGGTACTTTTCCATGAAAGGGACAGGATAAAACTTTAACAACAACCACAATAATAGCAATAATAATAATAATAACTGCAGTAAATGTAATATATAGCTGGAATACATAGTCTATGTTAGGTATATGTGTCCGTAGCTTTATCTAAAACGTTTTTATTTAAAAAGAATGTGATAAATAAAGCAACTTAATGCAATATCTTTTAAGAAGTGCAGGACACTGAAATGAATGTCACTGCTGTGTCAAATAACAACAATAAAGTGACACAAATGAGCCATGCATGCAGAAGTCAAGCCAGTGACCCGGAATGATGATAACACCGTAGGCTACTGAAACTATATCTAAAAGCATCAGCAGGTAGTTTGCATGTTTATTTTACAATTAATTACCTTGAATCAAACTCGTTCCACAAATATTGGCACTAGAGATCATGAAGAACCTCAGCAGCTTTTAACCTGCGCGTTAAACCTATTGGACACAGGTGTGTCCAGGATTTAGCGCAACTCAGCCAATCAGAACGGAGGTCGAAATAATTCATTAATTGATTGATTAGTAATTAATTTATTAATGTGCCCAACAGGTTAAGTACCAAAAAGAACACACGCTTTTTTATATGCCATTAAAAACAAGGAAGAGAATGGCAACATTTCTGACCTCCGACAGTCAGAGGCTGCATATTGTCCCACATTTCAAACCTCGGGCATCATCTCATGCGCCGACTGATTCTGTGGCGATGCCAGGCAGATATGTCTTCTCAGAGATTCTCCTCTAACAGTATGACCCCCCGCTAGGATGGCGACCACGGAGCTGAAACCCGCTTTTTTCTGAACCGCAAGAAGGTTTTTATCGTCGCCGTGGGACACATTCATCCTTCCTGTCGGCTGGGGAAAGGTGACGGTGATGAATTGGGAATAAAGTTCACTAAGCGGAGGATCTGATTGACTTAGGGAGTTAATAACTCGAAACACATCCCCGTCTTTCCCCAAGCCGCATGAAGGCGTTTAATCGCGGACGCTCCCCGTGCGTTTATCACCGCCGTGCGCCTTCACATCTGGACTCTGTTCTTCTCTTGCTGTTTTCCTGCTCTTCAGTGAGGCTTTGGGGGCCGTACAGAAGGCTGCTCTAGGCTGAACGTCTTCTGATTCTCTGAAACATCCAAACCTATCAATATTCATTAAATATTAACTGTATTCGGAGCTTTAACTGTGATTCAATCTAATGATTATTAATTATAGGCCTATACCACTCCCCTCTCTCCGTTTCAGTTCATCAGTGCATATTTAGGCCTAATTAAAATATACAAAGCCTCTTCTCCTGCTATGTCCTATGTGGCTACATAATATTTAGGCCTATTCCTATGTAACAGACCTATAATTAACGTTGGCTTTAGAAAGCCATGCACTGACGTTTGGACCTCTACACACACACACACCTGCCAAACTGACTGAGCCGTAGTGTGATGACCTGGAGGCCTTGGTACCTACTGGCCGATCCGCCTGGCTGCGCTAATTACTTTGAAATAGGATAGGTTATGTATAATTATGGAGACTTTGGTTTCGTTTCTTTCATCTCTCTGAGGTGCATCATATCAAATTCAATTTAAATGACTAAAATAGCACTCAGATTATTTCACCAAACAGATTTCTCCTCATCAGTCCTGACAAAAGATTGTTTGCTATAATGTTCCATGGCGCAGATTTCGCCATAAATTAAAGATGTGACCAAGATTAGAAGGATTTATACTCACATGTGCCTCCTCGGACGAAAGTCATTTACTTGCACCCAGTGCTAATACTTTGCCTGAAAATGCCTTTTGACATCCACGCTGCCTTTTATTTCTTTACAGTCTAAAATTGACAGACCGCGCATGAAAAGGGTTAAGACAACTTTCAGAGGGGGCAACAATGCGCCTTTGTCTGGAGTCCCTGCCTCCTGACTGGGAATCAAAGGTAGTTTATAAAGTTAAACAAAGGCCCGATGAGCCTTACAGTTGTTTTGTAACTCAGATGGGCTCTCATTTGTTGCCTCGGGATTTAAATTAAACGGTATGGTAATGGTCTTCTCCATGGCATATCAGTCTTCTTAAGGCCAGGGTTTGGGATGCTAATTGCAACTGTCCCCCTATTCACAAGGCAAACAGACTGGAGATACTGCAACAACCAAGGCCCATATAGTCAGGTCATAGATGTTCATTAAAATCATAATCAAATGACCAACACACACCATGTAGGGTGTGTGTTGGTCATCTTCCGCTGAGCAACTTACACTTAAATATAATTATAAGCTATCCTGGGACTATTGGCATCAAATCACAAAACACCGATGTCCAAATACAGTAGGACCAATAGCCCAGTTACAGACTTGGGGTGGTTTGAGAATCATATGATTATGCAGCTGAAGAGTAGGCACACATCAGCGGAAACATTAGCAGGCCACACCTCACTACGCAGCGCACTTTAATGCCTCTCATATGTTCCTATTGGTGTTTACGTAGATTTGTTTAACGAGATGGTGTTGGAGGACGGGTTAAGTGTTTGAGCACCATGCAGAGAGGGCCTCAGAGGACGTGGGAGCCCGGAGACTCCGGTGACATCAAAGCTTTCGGAGCAATGCCACTCGTTCCAGGTTGTAGAGATTTTAAACGTCTCCAAACGCGCTGCAGCTGCATCAAGGAGCCTGCTACCTGTGCGCGCGCGCGCACACACACACACACACACATACACACGGGATGTGCTGCCGAGGAAACGATAAACTGAGACTCAGTTTTTATAAAGCCAGTGGAACCAGGTTGGAAAATGAACAGAAGTTAAGGCGCAACCGTGGCCCGAAATCAACAAATGTTTTAAATGAAGAAAAACCTTTGGGCTACAGATTTTGATCGTTTTACATACAGCTCAAAAAAAGCAATCAGTACTCCATCCCCGTCTCCTTTCTCTGTTGCAAATGGCCAAATAAAATGGCCTCTAGAGCAATACTTCTTAAATTAGCTCTGAATGACCACCCTCATCAAATAACAAATGATTGACCTTACAGTGTGATCTATATTGCTCATGTACAACACCGTTAGCTCTGCCAGCCTACCTGACACATTAAATGGCTCCAGCGCAGGAAGTCATTCACATTTGAACCATTAAGACTACACCCACAACAACTTCTAACTTTATCAGTGAGCTCCTGGAGGGGGCACGGTGGACAGGGATTATGAAGCTAAGCGCTTTGAATGTATTAAACAGTGTAGCTTGGGAAACACTTGTACCGAGGAATCCTTTTCAGCGTCAGTGATTCAAAGTAGTGAGCGCTGACCTTTTCTTCGTTGGAGCCTGCTATTACACCGACTATAGCGCTCATTTGAATAGATGGAGGTGGCGTGCGATCGTCTGAGAGAAAGCTAATTTTTCAGGTTGAATGGCCCAGGGTCCCTGGGCTAAGGCGGGTACAGAGGAGAAGGCGGTGCTGCGCTCTCGGTGCGGGTTCAGCCTTTTCAATAGTCTCCCTAAAAGTGGAGAGCTTTGATCCGGCCGCTGCTGGCGCCTAAAAACAACATAACTTGTCTGCCCATTAGAGAGACTGACAAATCGTGACAGATTGTTTATGCCTGGCAATTAGCGACGCAGACGTTTGCCCGAGAACTGACGCACAAGAAGATGTAGTCACGTTTTTACTCTAAGATTTATGAAGCTTATTTTAACAGCATTTATAGAGAGCCAACTACTTTTCCATATAAATTCCGAGACAATAATGATAAGAATTCCCCGTTTTGCAGGAGGGCAGATAATGAGACGGCACACAGGTATATGGCCAGGTAAATCAATGACAAACCTCTCCTCGGCTCCAGCTGTCTCCTCCCCCTTTGCCCCCTGCTCCACATAATTTTTGACTTTAATGAATGTAGAAGACAGAAAATCCTAGTGATCCCCCCCCCCACCCCGCCCCAAAAGCCCGATAATTACCCCTAAATGACTGCAAAGGCCCGTGTGTTTCAATCTGATTAAAGCCTTCAATAAAGAGCGCGCTGCTAGAGGTTCATCGCATAATGATGGGCAGCAAACTGTGCCATAGCCTCACTGCAGCAGAATAAGCTCACGGTCAACGTCATCTTATTGGTCGATTTGTGTGAACCCTGTTCAGAAAGGTTGTCAAATGTGGTTTAAACATGGAAGGTAATAACAGACATATAATGCACGTGCCTCTAGGCGTAATTATAACATATCAATAACTTAATGCTAGAATAATTATAGGGTGTATTGGGGGAGAACATTATTTTGTAGGATTTCAGTCTTGATGAAACCACGGCTCATTAGGAGTTAGTTTGTTGTGTTTATGTTGGTTGGTAAAAAGTGACTATTGTTAACTTTCCCACTCTGATTTTTTTTTTTTTTTTTTTTTTTTCCACTGCAGGCATAAATGCGGCCGTCCCTCTCTCTTACGCCTGCCTTATTATAGCACCGCGCTCCAATTTGGTCACATAAACATGAGGATACCGTCACCTTAGGGCGCACCGCAGCAACTTTTTGCAACTCTTTCCGCGATAGCCACGAGAGTCAACTAGTCACCTTTACCACCAGTGCCAGTCGGACCTGTATGGCCCCATCGATCGCCATGTCAGCTTTGACCGCTGGTTTGAAAACTGAAGAGCTTCCTCCCCGTTCGGTCCTTGTCAGCAGAGGCGAGATGCAGACAAGTCTGAGTCCCGCTGAGGAGACCGGGAAGCCTAAAGTTGCTATTCTGCCCTTCAGTGTCGAGGCACTGATGGCTGATAGAAAACCCAGCAGAGAAGCACCATCTCCGGACGCGCTGTCCGCAGCCGGGACGTCCCAGGCGCCGGGAAAGGGAGCACGGATGGGCTCTTTTGGTAGTCTGGATACTTCAGTTCCTGCTTTGCCCATGAGCTCATCTTTTTCAGTGGGCGAGATCATGAACATGCCTGAAGACGTGTTGATTAAACCCGAGAGCCCGGACAGTAAAGAGAGGGCGTCATGGTCGCAGAGTCCTCGTTTCTCTCCTACACCTCCAAGTAAGTTGAACTTATGGTGTCATAGCATAAAAATAAATATTGTCCAAGCCAAATGTGTGTATGTTAGTCTCAAACATGTTTGAACTCCTATTTTCGACGTTTTGCATGTTAAAACGCTTTGTTAAACTCGTTTGTTTCACGTCCATTTTGCCTTTACAACTTGGTTATCAATTACAGCGTTTTGTCTTCCTTCAGGAAGGCTGAGTCCTCCTGCGTGTCCCCTGCGAAAACACAAGACAAACAGAAAGCCCCGGACCCCCTTCACCACGTCCCAGCTGCTGGCCCTGGAGAGAAAGTTCCGTCAGAAGCAGTACCTTTCCATCGCCGAGCGCGCAGAGTTCTCCAGTTCCCTCAATTTGACGGAGACCCAGGTGAAAATCTGGTTTCAGAATAGGAGAGCCAAAGCCAAGCGGCTGCAGGAGGCAGAACTTGAAAAACTGAAAATGGCAGCTAAGCCTATGCTGCCTCCAGCTTTCGGTATTTCCTTTCCTCTGGGTGCGCATGTCCCCGCGTCCTACGCTGGGTCGCACCCGTTCCAGAGGCATTCTCTGCCGGTTTCCCCCGTGGGACTGTACGCCGCTCACGTGGGATATAGTATGTACCACTTGGCTTGACAGGGACGCGGGAGGAGGGGCGCCTGCAGTGGGACACAAGGGGGCTGAGAATAGCCACCATTCTGAAGGCCCGAACGAGAAAGGGCGCTTCGGGCAGGTGAGGTAATACTGTAGAGGCATCCTGGTGGTCAGCTCAGTGCCGCACCCAGCCTCCTAACAGACCCCCTACTGAGGATCGTGAAGTTTATCCACTTCTCTTGACCTCGCCAGTAAGTTCACACACTGCAAAAATACTCCATCTTTATTAGCCATTTCATCTTGAGTCTTAAATCTGTTTTTGTCAGTGGACTTTGGCCTCAAGCACATATTGATACTTCTATTTCAGACTAAATGACTTTAACATGGACATTTCTGCACTACAGAGGTGGAAAACAGCTTAGTACGTGCAGACCTTTGATATATCAAAAATGGACAGTCAAGTATAGGCAGCAGGCTGTGTGCCAGTGCGTCCCTGCCTCTGGTACAGCCAGGGAAAATGGAGATTTTACGGGCTTCGCGGAGTCAACGAGAGACTCTTGCGCAGCCTGACATTTCGCCCCAGCAAACTTAACAAGCTTTGATCGCATTTGTGAGAGGTCACACGGCTAAAACCATACATTTTCATTTTTTTGCATTCATATCAATGCGTACCTACAGTGAGTTACTGAATCCAGTGTCAATGAATGCTCTTTGTGAATTTGGAGAACCACAGCATTTTTTTTAATAACAGCACTGTCTGTTGTTGGAATGATTCCCTTCGGAAGGGATGTGTGTACTGTAAAATTATGTATATTTGAAAAATATCCTCATTTATATTATGAATATATTTGTGACATAACTTAATAAATTGTTAATTCTTTTTCATTAAAAGGTTGTTCGTTTTGACTGACGCTTGCCTGGTGCCCCTTACACCAGGTGGTGACCATTTAATGGTCTCACAATTCATAATAGGAGAAAGTGTGCTTTTTAACAAAAAAGCTGAAAAATTCAAACTTAGTATTTTACAATTTTTTTCAATCTATTTTAGGATGAATTTATCCCCATCGTAAGTGTTGGACATAGCAGAAAAAGCAGAAACAGATCAGTATGATCAACGGTGCACATGAGTATGAATCAACCTGAGGAGGAGATAATATATTTTGAAATAGTTTGGAGAGCCACAGTCTCCATGGGACCCACACTATAACAACACTCACAATACTACTGCCCGAATTTCTTCAGTTTGACGTCAAACCGTTCACACTGTGAATTAAAGCTGGTCACGTGTTATTTGGAGGAATGCATTACTACAGCTGTTGCCTATTGCTGTGAAACAAATAACCTATTTTGTTGGCGCCAGAAGAGTTTAGGGTGTGGAGAAGAGGGGGGGACAGCAAGCTGTGTTGACTTCACAACACACCGTTAAATACCGAGGGTCGCTTCTCTGGGTTACAGGGCTTGTAAACAACCCACTAGAGTGTCATTATGGGGTGTTTAGCGTGTAAAATGAGCCTGGTGACACCCCATTATGGAGACGACAGGGTGTTAGGACGCATATGTGCCGGTCCACGCAGAAACCTATTGCATTCCTGAAACACACAAAAAAGTATTGGAACCTAGAGGGACGAACGAGTCACTTTCTGTCATCGGGACTTAAATGACAAAACAGGGATCAGATAGGGGGAAATTACAGGCCGCTCCACGGCAGCTCTAAAGCCCGTCTCTTGACTTCTCTTCCATTTAAGCAGGGGTTAAACTGGAGTAAAAATAATTGCTGTAATGAGCAAAGGCAATCTGCCGCAGACGGAGGCCGGCTCCAGCGAGGCTGTAGCTCCGGGCGAGGCGGAACTTTTATCATTCCTAAAATGTCAACGGGGGACTGGGACGCTGCGCTGTGATTTCCTCCTGCGCACTGACAAGCTCCTGTCCTGACGCGCTGATTTACTCCCAGACACACATTTTTTAAGCAATTCTTTCTCCAGCTTTTGAACTTGCACACCATTTTATAATCATGGCTCCTTCACATAAAAACACATTTCATTTGCAAGAGGTTTCATACAGTTAATGTAATCCACGCCGAATATTGCCAGAGTCAGGGCCATTATTTTTTTTATTTCTTTGGTGTATTTTTCCTGATAATCTCCGCCCCATTTTATCCATGAGGCACGAATTAATACATAATCCGTGACAATGATATGAAATCACACGGATGAGCGCTCGATCTGAAAAGAAGAGAAACTTGACACAAAAGAGCCAAAGGGGATCCGTCCTCTCTCTGAAACTCTTTCATTCTTTTGTCCGCCTCGCTCTCTATCCAGCCAGGAGCCAAACAGAAAACAAAACTCACTTGTTTATGTCATCCAAGTGATCACAGGAGGCTCTTTGACTCTGTAGCTAACCCCCCTCAAGAAGAGATAGCGGGTTATACATCTTAGATTAGTGATTATTGAAGAACAGGACTCAGTGGATGTTTACCAGACCATTCATTTTTAGTAAGGCTTTTCCCCAAGATAGCCAGAAGATATGTCCCGGGAATTTTAATAAGCGGAATTCATATAGATCATTGAGGAAGGCTGGTTGTTGAAAACCGCCACCAATGCGCCTTAATCTTTGGTCAAGAAAAATGTCAGCTCTGTCCAAATCAATGCTGATGATGAATATTTGTGCTTGGATACAACTTAGCCGGACTTTAATTAGGCTACACATGAAGACACAATTACATTGTTCTCTGTCAGAATTGTTGCCTGTTTCCCTCACAACAACCTTATCGGAGATTGGCCTAACCATCCTTCCTTCTTTCCTTCCTTCCACACAGACATCAGCTATTAAAGCTTATGAAGTTTGATTTTAAACCAAGGAGTATTTCTTTTACTATAAATATAGTGATTTGAACTAAGTGAATTCAAGGATGGTGATACTGGAAACGTATTCACGCTTTCATTTCTTTAATAAATGAACAAAATGTTGCCCCAAGCCTTTAACAGACTCAATAAATGTGCGCACCTTCCATTTAATTTTTAGTATAATAAATGGTATATTGGTCTGGTTGTACATCCTAAAGGTTAAATCAGATTGTCTAATATTTTAAATAAAACGACCTTGCATGTTGTCAGGGTAAATCATGATAACTGGGCCTTTTTACTACTGTACAATATCTATGTACTAAAGAAAAACACTAAACACGTCTAATATTACAATTTGAAATGCGGGGGAAATTAATCTAACACCATTCTCAAGCCAAAACCCATGAAAATCTGTAAATGCCCAAGTTCCTTCTGTGTCTTTCATATCCCACACCACCACCTTCTGTTCGGAGTCGGACTAACATAACACAAGCTCTTTCCTTTCTGATAAAAAGCTATAAAGTTGCACTAATAAAATCGTCCAACTAAACTAAAAATGACCATACTAAATTAAAAAAATGAAATGCAAAATGTAGCCTAAGCCTCTTGACTTGAGGCCTACATGTTTGGCTCTTTTGAACCAGAATATGCACAGTGACTGAATAAATCATAGCAATAAAGACTCTACAAAATGTTTTCTTGAAGGGACAAAAGAAAAGATTTGATCTGTTTTAGGAGAGAAATGTATAGAACCCTTAGGCCTGTTATCCTATACATGTGCACGAGTAAACAACGCGGGAGAATTAGGCCCACAGTTCAGTTAACTAGCCTGTGTCAGGCTGTGTTAACCTGAACACGCAACCACGTCCTGGCTCTGCAGCTACAGACCTGAAGGCTACAGCCGGTCACAACCACATGATTTAAATCCTATTAATATTAATAATGCCATAAATCAACGTTCCCTGACAGCAAGGACAGCCTTCACCAAAAAGACCTATAAAATATTCTCCTGCAAAAACCAGATATGCTCATATTTATAGAAGAAGATGTTTAAAATGAAAGAATCAACGTCATTAAAAGTCAGTATTATGTATAAATGCATTATTGAGCCAAGTAGCGTGGCCCCAACAGGATTATACCTGCAGATAGTCATAAGAAAATCCACGAAACACGCACATATCTGTGGTCAATTATCTGTTTCAGCTCGAGCTGTTCTGTTCTCATGATAACAGTGATCATTAATGAAGATTTGAGGTCGCAAACCTTTTAATTTTGTGTCCATGTGGCCTGTTAGTGTCCACTAGAGGGCAGCTCTGCATTATCTGCTTGACCTGCGTTCATATTAGTCTGGAGTTATAGCGGAGATAAATGTATTAAATGATTACAAATGTTAATAACTGTCTATAGCGTGATGATCAGTTTTTATTCACCCCCTCTGCTATTAGAAGTCCTGTACTGACCTTCTATTGAATAATTAAGTTCAGTGTGGAAATTAGAGCAGTTGTGCATTTATAAGGCTCATTTACTGTTTACTGTGAGTTTAGAATCTCGGTGTGGATTGGAGACGATAACAAAAATCTCCATGTACAGCCACATTTACCGATAACAGCTGTGGAGAGTGTGCACCAGTCATCTTTTGGACATTAAGTGTGGACCTAGGAGGCACCGTGCAAAAGAACTATTAGTCTACATGTGATGGAAAATGTCCTCAAATCTTCATTAAAAAAAATCACAAACGGTATTACCGGCACTTTAATGCAAATAGGTTTCTGATCTATCCAGTATCATTTTTTTTAGACAAAGCAGAACACGATTACTGTCACAGCTCAGATAAGTTGTTTTACTGTTGCAGCATTTTGTATTTTTGATGCAGTCACACAACATGAATTTGCTAAATTACCTGGCGGCCATGTGGTTTTCATGTGCTCTTCACCTTTTGCGTTAATGAGAGAAAATTACGCGGATTCAGGGGATTCACAGATGATCAATAAGCAGAGCAATTAAGCTTTATAAACGCACTGTGGGTTGATTTCTGCTGCTAACAGGTTTGGTTTTGTAGTAGTAGTTAATTTGTACTGAGGGGTTGAGCTGATGACTCACAAGTGCAGGGACTAGATTCGTGGCACAAAAAGAAAAGCAGTTTATTGCAACATATGTAGCTTGAGCTCGACTTAAACTGTAGACTGTAAAATTATTAAAAATGATTTGTCAGTGTTGTAAGATCTTCTGCAATGGGGCAAAGTATCTGAGGGTTTTTTTCAGCCAAGCTCAGTTGGTGTTGTGGACTGTGATATCACAACAACAACAACAACAACAAAGGGGTAAACTCTTGGTTTGCTGGTTAATATTCTACAGCATTAATCTCCAGTTTGAAAATCTTTAGGACTCCACCTGTTTTTGCTTAATCACTTATTAAGGTACATTTTGTTACTGACATATTGCTGTCAATTCTCATCACAAATAGAAACTTGTTTAGACCATTTCAGCAGCATGGGTTCAGATCTTGTTCTGTTTTGACAGATTTCACAAAGGTCAAACTAAAAGTCAAGGTTTTTATAAAAGTAGAAGTCCTTTAAGTCCACGGCTATTTGACCCAGCCATAGAACCACTGGCAATTGTGCCCCGCAGTCGCGAGAGTCTCAGAGGGATATGGAGGATGGGAATCGAACATAAAGTTTCCCACTACACTGATGACCTCTTACTCGTCATAACAAATCAAACAACTCCAGTACCTCCTGCCAGATCTCAGGTTATAAAGTTAATTTAGACAGAAATGAACTATTCCTAGTAAATATGAAAATATCTTCACTAGAGGCTAGTACTGTCCCTTTTAAGATCACGGAGAATCAATTTGTTTACTGTGGCATTACAATCACAAGGAAGCACAAGTTTCTTTATAGAGAAATATTCAGTTTTATTGCAAGAAGTAAAGCGGAGTCTGGAACAGTGGTCACCCTGTCTACATGTTCCATGGGCTGAATTAATCCCATTAAGATCAATATTCTTTCCAACTTTTTTATACCTCTTCCAATCCATAGCAAATTTTATTATCCCAAATCCTTTTGAATTTGTGGGTCATCTCATCGTACATTTGGAGAGACAAGTTCCCTCGCTTAAATAAAGTCCACTTTCAAAAATCTAAAAGGCAGGGAGAGGTGGCATTGCCCAGTTCTTGCTAATACTATGGGGCAGCTAATAGACACAACCTTATATTCTGGTTTCAGACTGTCCAGCATGGGTGGCTTTCTATTCCTGCACTCCCACTCTCATCTACTACACTAATCGACAGTCCGGTAGTCAGGCACACCTCGAGAGCGTGGGCTCAGTTCAGGAAACAGTTTGGTTTGTCTGGTTTCTGTCTTTCAAGCCCTACTGCACCCAGCCATTTTTGTCAGCCTTCTGCGATTCTGCATTCAATGACTGGTATAGAGTTGGTATTAGGCACTTTAAAGATCTCTTCATAGATAAATGTTTTGCATCATTTGAACAGCTGTCTAATAAATTCAATTTACCAAATAACCATTTTTTAGGTACTTGCAGACCAGACACTTCATTAGCTCTCAGACATCTAATTTCCCTAAGACTCCTGATGGAAACTTTTCTTTACATGCACCCAGCTCGTAAAGGCTTGATGTCGGTTATCTACAATAAGCTGGCGGGCTGGAGGAGTGCCTCTCTGGATAAAATTAAAGCAGTTTGAGAGCAGGATTTGAACCTTTCATTATCTGATGAGGTATGGGACTCCATGTGCAAGTCGGTCAACTCAACATCCCTGTGCACTCCCACAGTTTATTACAGTTACAGATAGGGCACATAAGTCCAGAGTTATATTATCTCAGATTTTCCCAGATGTTGACCCACATTGTGACAATGCAGAAGTGACAAAGCCTCAATTTTTCACATGTACTCGTCATGTCCCAGTTTGAAAAAGTATTGGAGGGATGTGCTCCAAACCTAATCATGGGTACTGGACCTGTGCATTGGAGCCCGATCCTTTGCATACCTTCAGAGAGGGACAGCATGCACCTAAATGCAGCTAACCATCATATGCTGTCCTTTGCCACTGTCCGGGCAGTCTTAAGTGGTTTCACGTGCATGTGCTCAATGGCTCTGGGATACCATGTCATGAATCTTGAGAACATTTATTACTCAGTTTCTAACTCGGATATAAAATTCCAAAATGTGTGGGTCACACGCTTTCACTTTGTTTCCAGACACTCAATGCAGTTCGAAAGGCTGGTGGTACTCGCAGGGGGTTTTGGGGGTGTATGCATTTTGCATTTGATAAATGAAAAAAAAAAGTTTGATTATAAAATTTGAAACACTGATTCTCAGAGAGAGACATTTCAACCAGCTGTATTTCAGAAGCATCAAATGCTGGAAAACCATCATCCTGAAATAAACTGTCCAGGGTGTACCCCGCTTCTCACCCCGCAACACTCTTCAGGATAAGCAGTATAACTAATGGATGGATGGACCATGCTCATCTGGTGTGGCCATGTGGAAATACAACAGCACCACCTTGTGGCAGATCAAGGCGCTGTCAGACTCTCCCTGATGATTAACCTTTAACGCACAGTACTGACAACAGTGAACTAATGACATCAGCACCAAAATCTAATGGATTGTTCCGTGGGCCATACTCTACCTCTCCAAAAAAAAAAAAAAAACATCAAAAGACACTCCTTTCCTTTTGAGTAAAACACACAAACTAACACATACAAGTAAAAACAACCTCTGCCTTGTCGGAGGTAATAATGGTGACTTCACAGGATTTCTCCATCGAGACAACAATGAAACTAAGTATCTTTATAAAACCTGGACTTGATTAATATGTGGGCACAAATTAGTCAGGTACTTTTGTTAGCATGCAGACCACGTGTAGACAAACAACCACACAAACTCACACTCTCTCCTATGGGCAATTTAGAGTCACCAATCAACCTAAGCTGCATGTCCTTGGACTGTGGGAGGAAGCCGGAGAACCCGGAGAGGACCCACGCAGGCACAGGGAGAACATGCACACTCTGCACAGAAAGGCCCCGGGTCGGCCGGGGCTCAAATGGATCAAAATCATTTCCTCAATATTCAATACAAAACCTACTGAAGTTTATTCAGTGGTGAGATGGAAACAACAGCAACAATATGAAACACTGTACATTCTGTTCATTTTCACAATGTATGGAGTTCACTTCTACCTAAATTAAAGAAAAGAGGCTCATATAGACATGTACAGTAGGCCTCCACTAACAACCCCCGTTCATTAATCTACCAATGGCTCAACCCTGACACATCAGGCAAAACAAGATGGTGCTGACAACAATCCTGCAGGTGGCGGAGCTCATTGCCAGCCAACACTTAACTAATGTTTGCATTTGATCAGTTCACTTTTATTTCTTGGCTGTCTGGCTACATTTAACCAGCTGTTTTAGCACAGCATGCATCGTCTTCACCAGGTGGTCAGGGGTGCATTCAAAAGTGCACAACTTTGCTGGCTGCTCAGTGTGCCCAAACACTCACCCTGCCTTTCTTATCTCATCTGGTCCCCGAACATCTGCCACCAGCTGTGGAGATGTGACAGTTCACTCTCAGCAAAAAACAAAACAATCAAGTCAAGATTATTTTCTAGAATGAATGTTTCTCCAGGACATTTTACAATGTCTCTTATTTTCTGTCATTTTTCCAGGACTGGCAAACTCGTCTAAGTACGGCATTTTTCAAGACAAGTTAACCATGCGAAATTTCATTAGACCTGTTGTTGTTCACTGCCAAGTCAAGCTGGACAATATTTCAGTGAATGAACAA